CAGTTCAACTCCATTCTTTCCTTTCTCCTACACTATACTTCTTGCTTAGAGAGAACTCTGGCTTGTTCTTGATTTTTGTTGTGTTGTGGTGCTAGGAATTGAACTTAGGGCCTCATACATGCTAGGCAAGTGTTCTACCGCAGAACTGCCTTCCTAGCCCATGTCTGGGTTTGGATCTGATTAATTTATCTGTATCCTAGAAGCTGAGCTATGCCGAAGGAAACAGTTCCCATGTCTCTGTTTGCTCCAACAGGCAATTCTCCTGACAGTTGCCAAGTGGATGGGTGCGTCCTGACCACGCAGGAAGAGGAAGACATGGTCAGGAACCAATGGATCCTCCCTGCCCATAAGTGGAAGCCACTGCTTCCTGTCACCAAGGTTTGTGGGGTACAATTTGAGGACTGACTCTCAGTCTCTGGAGGAACCTGGGATCTTGAATTGCTATGCATCTCCCTACCCCTGAGCTCCACCCCTATGCATCTCCCTACCCCTGAGCTCCACCCCTATGCATCTCCCTACCACTGAGCTCCACCCCTATGCATCTCCCTACCCCTGAGCTCCACCCCTATGCATCTCCCTACCCGAGCTCCACCCCTATGCATCTCCCTACCACTGAGCTCCATCCCTATGCATCTCCCTACCCCTGAGCTCTACCTCTACACATCTCCCTACCACTGAGCTCCACCCCCTACGCATCTCCCTACCATTGAGCTTCACCCCTACGCATCGCCCTACCACTGAGCTCCACCCCTACACATCTCCCTACCACTGAGCTCCACCCCTACACATTTCCCTACCCTTGAGCTCCACCCCTACACATCTTCCTACCACTGAACTCATTCCGTAGTCTCTTTTTTTAATTTTTAGAGACAGGATCTTGATGAGTTTTTCAGGCCAGCCCTGAACTTGTAATCCTCCTGCCTCTGCCTCCTGAGCAGCTAGGATTTTAGCTCTTCAAACGAACTTTCCTGGAAGTCTTTGCTCAGTTTCACTGTAAATGAATGTGAAAAAATGTGTTTTCACAGAGGAGGGTGGACTCTGACTTTCACATGCCTAACAATCAAAATTTTGCTAAAACAAAAATCCATGCACACAGGCGAGTGTTCCTATAGTACATTAACTTATCTGAAGGGCGCCCAGCACACATGTGCTAAGCATGTACACACAGGCAAGTGTTTATATTTAATTTATATGAAGGGTGCCCAGTACACTTAAAGCTGCCATGCTGTGCCCATCTGTGGGATGGACACCCTGATACATGCTAGAGTGCCTTGGACAAGGGGAGTGGTCACCAAGGGTGTAGTGAGGGTTCGTGTAACCCTGAAGACACGAGTTTTTTTTTTAAATTTATTAAAAATTTCCGCCTCCTCCCATTTCCCTCCCACTTCCCCAACTCCCTCTCTCCCCTCACTCTCCAGTCCTAAGAGAAATCAGGGTGCCCTGCCTTGTCGGAAGTCCAAGGTCCTCTCCTCTCCATCGAGGTCTAGGAAGGTGAACATCCAAATAGATTAGGCTCCCAAAAAGCGAGTCCATGCAGTAGAATCAAAACCCAGTGCCATTATCATTGGCTTCTCAGTCAGCCCCTATTTTGAGCCACATTCAGAGAGTCGGTTTGATCACATTCAGTCCCAGTTCAGCTGGCCTTGGTGAGCTCCCATTAGATCAGTCCCATCGTCTCAGTGGGTGGATCCACCCCTCGTGGTCCTGACTTGGGAGCTCAGTCCAGTGCTCCAGTGTTGGTCTCTGTCTGTATCTCCATCCATCGCCCAATGAAGGTTCTATGGTGATATGTAAGATATTCATCAGTGTGGCTATGGGAGAAGGCCAGTTCAGGCACCCTCTCCTCTGCTGCCCAAGGACCTAGCTGGGGACATCCCCTTGGACACCGGGGAGCCCCTCTAGAGTCAAATCTCTTGCCAACCCTAAAATGGCTCCTTTAATTAAGATATCTTCTTCCCTGCTCTCATATCCACCCTTCCTCCATCTCAACCATTTCACTCCCTCAAACTCTCCCCAATCCTCCCCTTCTCCTTTCTCTCTCTCCATCTCCCCTTCTCCCACCCCAGCCCCACCCCGTGCTCCCAACTTTTGCCTGGCGATCTTTTCTATTTCCAATTTCCAGGAGGATAAATATATGTTTTTCTTTGGGTTCACCTTCTTATTTAGCTTCTCTAGGATCACGAACTATAGGCTTAATGTCCTTTGTTTATGGCTAGAATCCACTTATGAGTGAGTACATACCATATTCATCTTTTTGGGTCTGGGTTATCTTACTCAGTAAAGTGTTTTCTATTTCCATCCATTTTCATGCAAAATTCAAGATGTCATTGTTTTTACTGCTGAGTAGTACTCTAATGTGTACATGTTCCACACCTTCTTTATCCATTCTTTATCCAACTGAGGGGCACCTAGGTTGTTTCCAGGTTCTGGCTATTACAAATAGTGCTGCTATGAACATAGTTGAACAAATGCTTTTGTAGTATGATTGGGCATCTCTTGGGTATATTCCCAAGAGTGGAATTGCTGGATCCTGAGGTAGGTTGACTCCCAGTTTCCTGAGAAACCGCCACACTGATTTCCAAAGTGGTTGCACAAGTTTGCATTCCCACCAACAATGGATGAGTGTTCCCCTTACTCCACATCCTCTCCAGCATAGGTTATCATTGGTGTTTTTGATTTTAGCCATTCTGACAGGTATAAGATGGTATCTCAAAGTTGTTTTGATTTGCATTTCCCTGATTGCTAAGGAAGTTGAACATGACCTTAAGTATCTTTTTGGCCATTTGAACTTCTTCTGTTGAGAATTCTCTGTTCAGTTCAGTACCCCATTTTTTTAAATTGAGTTATTCAGAATTTTAATGTCTAGATTCTTGAATTCTTTATATACTTTGGAGATCAGGCCTTTGTCTGATGCGGGGTTGGTGAAGATCTTCTCCCATTCAGTAGGTTGCCTTTTTGTCTTACTGACAGTGTCCTTTGCTTTACAGAAGCTTCTCAGTTTCAGGAGGTCCCATTTATTCATTGTTGCTCTTATAAGACACCAGGTTTTATCTCCTCTTCATTTAATTATCTCACCTCCTTACTGAAAAATACCATGACACTTGCCCACGCATGTCATTGTCACATGGATGTGTTTTCCCCACCAGCAGATTTATGTTAGACCAAATTATTGCTGAAAACCTTTTCTTAAAGCCCCCAAGGCCATGATGGGCTGACTGCACTGGGGGAGTTACACATCATTCTCCTCCAAGGACCTGCATCCGCTCTCTTTTCCAGCTCTCTCCTGACCAAACCCACGTGTTGGACAGCCTGACCCTGGAGCTCCAGGATGTCATCACGCATGCCAGGTTCACCATCATCCCCGACGGGGGTGTAAGCCGCCTCCGGCTCAAGGGCTTCCCCAGTTCCATCTGTTTGCTGCGGCCCCTCCGGGAGAAGCCCACGCTAAAGTTCTCTCTGAAAGCGGGCTTCCGGGCAAATCTTTAGACAGCACATCCATGGTAGTGGTCCCCACCCACTGTCTTCAGTGTTCCAAACACCTGGTGGTTCAATAAAGTGATCACCCCACAAACTGGCCTTTGTCTCCTGTTGACACCCAGTTGGTAGCTTAAAAGTTGGCCATGGTGGGGCTGGAGAAATGGCTCAACGGTTAAGAGCACTGACTGCTCTTCCAGGGGACCCGGGTTCAATTCCCAGCACCCACATGGCAGCTCACAACTGTCTGAAAATCCAGTTCCAGGGGATCTGACACCTTCACACCAGTGCACATAATATAAAGATAAATAAATCATACAAATTAAAAAAAGAAAAAGTTGGCCATGGCTAGGGATGGTGGCTAGCCTTTTGAAGAAGCACTTTCTAGTAAAACACTACAAAATGGTGATAGTATCAATTTTCTGCACCAGTTATGTGTAGATTTAATAGGTAATACATACCTTAGGGCTTTGAGAGCTGGTTTAGGCCATTAAAACCTTTGGGAAAGCATTTCTAAAATCATTTATTCAAGAGATAAAAGACATCTCTTGATAAAGTCATCCCTGATAAAGGGATATCTCTTAAAAAAGAGATAAAGTCAACCAGGACTTTACCAAAGGTCCCCCTCCCCCTCTCCCGGGGAGATCTGCCGTGCATCCTGAAATGACAAGCATTTGGAGTGCTGGGCACTAGTGGCCACGACAGCCAGTCCCTCACATCGTGTGGCGTTGAGCCTGGAGTCTTACACAAACGTGGGATGAAAGCAAGAAAGGAGGCTCAGAAGGTGACATACTTCCAGCGACCCTGAGTATTAGCGGAGTATGGGAAGTAACTTCCCAGGAACACCGCTGGGAAGTCAGGATGGGCGCTCCTGAGCCAGCACGGCCACCCTTTCTCTTTCTCCTCTTCCCTGAGCCCTATCACATTTCCTGTCTAATGCCTATACAGCGCCCTCGTGTTTTACTATGTAGTCTCGGCTATCCTGGAACTCTATATAGACCAGGCTGGCCTCGAACTTACAGAGATCTTCCTGTCTCTGTCTCCCAAGTACTGGAATTAGAGGCAAACACGACCTCACCAGATTCTCCCTCTTTTCTCTGTAGCCACCACCTAGATATCTGAACTCTTCCTGCATCCTCCCCGCCTTGGGTCTGTGTGTCAGATCTGTGTCCTCATCTCTCTGTGTGCTTAGTCTCTGTTTCATGCCAATTACCTCTCTGAGCTTCCTGCTGCTCCCGATCTATTTCCCTGTCCTCACCTGTCTGCATTCTGAACCCTGTCTGCATCTTTTATGTCCATCTGACCAGTCCCCTCCTGTCCTGCCTGGCTCCCTGTCGCCTTTCTCCTGCCCGCCCAGTCACAATCGCCCCAGGACGTCAGCGTGTGCTGCAGGTTCACGGCCCACTGTCCCGGCAGCCCAGTCCCGCCTGTAGCCCGCAGCCCGAGAGAGCCCGTGGGTTCTCGGCGGGTGTGCTGGGTGTCCCCGTGCATGGTTCTGCGTGTCCCGACGTGAGCAAGCAGTGGTCATGGGCACACGCGGGCCCTATGCCCTGGTGGACACCACGCCGGCCAAGACCATCTTGGTGTACCGCAACGGGGACCAATTCTATGTGGGCCGAAAGTTCGTGTTCTCGCGGCGACGCGTAGCCAACTTCGAGGCCCTGCTGGAGCAGCTGACCGAGCAGGTGGATGTGCCCTTCGGAGTGCGGAGGCTCTACACGCCCACGCGCGGTCACCAGGTGCTCGGGCTGGATGCCTTGCAGGCCGGTGGCAAGTACGTGGCCGCGGGCCGTGAGCGCTTCAAGAAACTGGAGTAAGTGCAGCCCTGGAGCTCTCTTCCCACGCAGACTTCAGCAGCAGCACACCCCACCCAGACCTCTGCACACAGCACACCTCACCCAGCAAAGCTGAGCCTTGTCCAGCTCTCAGGAGCAGGACACCCCGCCCAGGACTTCATCCAGGGCATCTGGCAGTAGGAGTTACTGTCCTTGAGAGCAACAGGCTACACATACAACTTGGGGTTCAGAGAATCCCAGAGGGGGTCAAGGGTGCAGATTAGTTTGTATTATTCAGGCACTTTGATGGCTATGAAACACATGCAAGGCACTGGAGGGTGCGCTCAACACAGAGAAGCATTTAGGCTTTATTGTTTTTTTTCATCTTTTAGGTTAATGACATGTGAAATCGGCCTTCTGTCTGCTGAATAAAATTATGAAACACTTCTGCTCTGACATCAGACAGGTGCAAGGCCCCTACAGTCTTTAACTGCTGAGCTACTGAGCAGTTAATAGCCACCAGAGAATCCGGTTCTAATAGTGGCACGAACACACAGTTGTAAGGAAAGCTAGCCGTCCTGGGGTGTCTTCCCCCCCATCCCCAGTGATGACCAGGGGCCTGTGGCTTGAAGGTTTGCACAGAGCAGCTTGCTGGGATACAGTTGTAAATGTGCTGCTTAAGTTCAAGCCTTCCTGGGTCTGTCTTGTCATACGTATATCAAGGCTGAGGGTGGGGGGGACAGAGAGGGGGTGACAGGCCATGACAGGCAGTGGAAAAGAGGCAGTCAAGGTTGGGTGGAGGGGACAAGGACCCCTTCTGAGTGGAACTGAACAGCAACTTCAGGTAAATGAGATCCACTCTCAGTGAATCAGGAGGTGAGTGCCCACGTCATAGCACCCACGGGCTAAGTACATGCCCTTCTTCAAAGTGTCCGCACCCAGGGCTTCTTGACATCTTCCTCTACCTCTGGAAAAACCAAGGAAATTGCTCAGTGACCACCAGACCCAGAAGAAAGCCTGCTCCTGGTTTCATGTACTGCCTTTCACCGTTCTGCTTGCTGGATCCTGCTCTCTGATCTGTTTCTATGCTATTGGGAGAGCAACCCTGAACGACAGATAGCATTTTGTGGTTTTTGTGCCTTAATTTTCTGGATTATTTTTGCATTTTTGTAAAATATAATGGAAATCAGTTTACAAGAAAATTAGAGCTGACTAGCAACACAAACTTGGAGAAATGGAAAGTTTGAGAGGGTTAGGGAGGTTGAAGGACAGGCCTGTGGGCAGAGGCGGTGAGGGGCAGAGTCCAAGGCTGAATATCCGCAGACTGAGCTTTGCTGGGTCTGCACACATTTCAAAGATCAGAGAGTGAACTATTCTTTATATATATATATATATATATATATGTATATACATATATATACATATATATACACACACATGTAAATTCTCTCTCTCTCTCTCTCTCTCTCTCTCTCTCTCTCTCTCTATCTATCTATATATAGTTTGTTTTTGTTTTTTGAGACAGAATTTTTCTGTGTAGCCCAGTCTGTCCTGGAACTTGCTTTGTAGATCAGGTTTGCTTCCAACTCAGAGATCCACTTACCTCTGCCTCCTGAGTGTTGGAACTAAAGGCATGTGCCTCCTCCTTGCACAGGATTCTGGTTTGCTTTTCAGGACTTACATGGTGGCTCATAACTCCCTTCAGTTCCAATTCTGGCTTCTGAGGTCACGGGGCATGCATGTGGTACATATACATACATGCACTGCACACAGGCACTCATGCTTATACATAACATAAATATAAAACAACCACCACAAGGACTGAGGTCCTGTCCACCCTAGACAAGGACATGCCATCTGGCTGGTGACTGTACCCATGGCTCCCCAGTTGCCCCCTTGTGGGGAGCCATCTTTTGTCTACCCTCTCTGTGAGGGTCAGGCTTTGTGACTTGACTCTGTGCTGAATACTCTTTTTCCTCCATCTACCAATCCTAAAGTAATTCTTCCCTGCATATGGTTAAAACTGTCTAGATGGGCAACAATAGAAAATGCACACTTTTAGCTGGGTGGGGGCGGTGGTGGCGCATGCCTTTAATCAAGGCCAGCCTGGTCTACAGAGTGAGTTCCAGGACAGCCAGAGATACACAAAGAAACCCTGTCTTGAAAACAAACAAACAAAGCATACTTTTTTTTTTTAAATAAAGAAGGAGCCTTAAGGTAAGAATTTTCAACTATTCTGCATTGCCATTTAAATCATGCCTTATTCTGTGGGAACATAGAAAACTCTTTGAAAATCCTAATGGTCAAAAGTTCTGGTAAGACGAGGACATCTATGAAGCCCCGTGGACAAGCGTAGGTTGTCTCATTTTCAGAGCTAGGGTTCTACTTGGATGCTGGCTTGCAGTGGTGTTCCACCACAGCAATAGTAGCCCTAACTGAGATGACTTGGAAATAGGACCGTGAGGTATTGCTGTGACAGACCTGGCCGTGTGTTTTTGGGAGGATTGTGGGAGGATTTTGGAACTTTGGGTAAGAAAAGCCATTGAGCATTCAAAACGTGATGAGCTGTTTTATGGGAGCTTGGAGGAAAATGTCAAGAGCAATGCAGATGATGGAGATCTGGCTTGTGAAGTCTCACAGGAAAGTTTGAGAGTTGCTTAAAGATCCTATCAGGGCTGCTTGCTATTTTGAATTGAGAATCTGTGGTTTTGGTCAGTTGGGGCTGAAGAATCAGCTGTGAGTAACAAGGGACTAGAACCCTTGAAGTAAAACCTTTGCTTTACTGGGACAACTGATGCTGGTCAGCCAGAGCTAAGAAATTAGCGGTGGTTAAGAAAAGACCAGCATCATTAAGGTGAAATCTCTTGGGAAGTATTTCCTCAGATCAGAATACAGCAACTATGTTCCAGAGGTGGCCAAGGTTGGCTCTTGCATGGGCAGCTGAACTGGATCATGTGTGAGAGTCACCCACTGGTTTAGAAGGCATGAGGGATTGTGGAGAGCAGCTGAGAATTGGCCCTGTCAGAGGCCAGCAGAGGCTACTGGTGAAAGTACAGCCCAGTTGCAGCAGAAGACCCCAGGATCTTGGAGATGCCAGTATCAGATGACTGCCAAGAATAGCAGCCGCTGTGGTGGAGGGGAGCCTGTCTGAACCTAGAAGGCAGGCTGTGTGTGTTATTGAGGACAGAGCTGGAGAAGTCATCCAGGCCCTTTGGAGGAGTCAAGAGGATCATGAATGAATTCCAGTATTGGACCCTGAATGATTTATACTGTTGGAGTTTGGTTTTGTTTTGATCTGATAGTGACTGTGTCCTGGCTTGTCCCTCTCAAAGGAAGTATTTAACTTAATTTTGATTTTTACAAGAGCACACAGTTGTGAAACTTTGAATTTTTAAAAGAGATTTTGAATTGAGTATTTGAAAAAAACTAAACTATTTTGTTTGTTTTGTTTCTTGAGACAGAATTTCTCTGTATAGCTCTGACTGCCCTGGAAATTTCTGTGTAGACCAAGCTGACCTTGAACTCACAGAGATCCACCTGCCTCTGCCTCCTGAATTCTGGGATTACAGGCATGAGCCCCCACCATTTGGCTGAGATGGAACTTTTGGGACACACTTTATTTAGTATGTATACAGTGTTCTGTCTGCCTATATGCCTGCGGCCAGAAGAGGGCACTAGATCTCAATTCAGATGGTTGGGAGCCACCATGTGGGTGCTGGGAATTGAACTCAGGTCCTGTGGGAGAGCAGTCTGTGCTCTTTACCGCTGAGCCCTCTCTTCAACCCTGAGATGGAATTTTAATGTGATTGAACTTGTAAAGACTGTGGAACTTTCAAAGTTATTTATGTTTTATATTGTGATATTAATATAAACATGCCATCTTGGGGATAAATTAGGAGGGAAAGGTTCTAACTGAAAAGCAGAGTGCTTGCCTGTCAGGTTGGCAAGGGGCCGATGGTGCTGGATAGTTTGTGTTAACTTGACACAAATTCGAGCCATCTGAGAAGAGGCACCCTCAACTGAGAAAATGTCTCTGTAAAAATCAGGCCGCAGGCAAACCTGTAGGGCATTTTCTTAATTAGTGATCAACAGAGGAGGTCTCAGCCCATGGTGGGTGGTGCTGTCCCTAGGCTGCTGGTCCTGGGTTCTATGAGAAAGCAGGGTGAGCAAGTCATGGGGAGCAAGCCAGTGAGCAGCACCCTCCATGGCCTCTGCATCAGCTCCTGCCCTGCTTAAGTTCCTGCCCTCAATGCTTCTGATGATGAACTGTTATATGGACTGTGAGTGAAATAAACCCCCTCCTCTCCAAGCTGCTTTTGCTCAGGCTGTGTCATCACAGCCATAGTCACCCTAAATAGGACAAGGGGGGCGGATCACTGAGGAGCTTAGGATCCTGCTCCATTAAAGACCTCTGTAGCAAGGAGGGGGCCACTTGCTTGTCCTGGCAGCCCAGAACCAAAATAACCACAAAGAAACTGTATTATTTAAAACACTGCTTGGCCCATTAGCTCTAACTTCTTATTGGCTAATTCTTACATCTTAATTTAACCCATTGCTAGTAATCTGTGTATCACCACGTGACTGTGGCTTACCGGCAAGATTCCAACTGGCATCTATCTCTGGAGGGACTACATGACTTCTCTCTGACTCTGCCCTTCTTCCTCCCAGCATTCAGCTTAGGCTCCCCCCCCTTCTTAGCTCAGTTCTGCCTTGCTATAGGTCCAAAGCAGTTTCTTTATTCATTAATGGTAATCACAGCACATAGAGGGAAATCCCACAGACCTGCTTGAAATGGTCACCTTAGACAGTCACTTCATAGGGCTGGAGGCAGGTTTTAGCTCCAGGGCTGCGCTCAAGGGATGGTGATGGCTGGAAATGTCCCCTTTACAGCACAGTCTTGTCACCCTGTTCTGAGTTCGCTCCTCTCTAAGTGGAGATGACCATGGTGCTTGTGTGCTGGTAATCCTAGAGCTAGTGACAGGAAAGTGACAAGTTCTAGGACAGCCTGGACTACAGTGTCAGGCCATCTCACTGAAAACAGAAAACAAAAATAAACAACCCAAATCCCAACCAATCAACCAACCAGTCCACCAACTAACCAGCTAAACATTACCACCATCACCAAAAAGTCAGAAGGCCAGTGAATTAGATAATTATTTACTGTTACTTAAACTATTTACTTAAATAGTTTAAATACAAATATTTAAAACATATTTTAAAAGATTTATTTACGTAATTTGCCTGTACACCACGTGCATGCCTGGAACCTGCAAAGGCCAGAAGAGGACTCGTAGATCCCATAATGCTCGAATAACAGATGGTTGTGAGTCACCATTTGGGTAGTGGGATCTGAACCTGGGTCCTCTGGAAGAGCAGTCAGTGCTCTTAGCCACCAAACCACCTCTCCAGCCTTAGACCATTATTTCTAAGGTCACTCTAATGATACATACACATATATATGAGAGTCAGGCCACTGGAGAGAGTTCCACAGGGCAAGGCCAGTTAAGACAACTGGAGGTGTCCCATGACACACTGCTGTCACGTTCTGATGTGGATTCATCCCTGCCCTGTGGGAGTGTCTGCTTCCTTGCTGACACTGGCTCCTCTTGGCAGAGGCTCCACGGCTCAGAGCGAGTATTGTCTTTCTAACTATGATTTCTCCTCTCTCTCTTTTTGCAGCTATATTCATATAGTTCCCAGAAAACCTCCAAAGATGAGAAAGTTGAAGGAGGTAAGTGTTTGAAACTAATAAGATGAGCTGAATTAGTCCACTGTGGCTACAGGTTTATTAACATCATTAAGCTTTTCAGGAACTGTTATCTGACTTTACTGGTTTTCCAATTTCCCGATTCCTATTTCGTTATGTCTGTTCTGATTTGTCTTCCCTCTTGTTGTGTAAGAAGGCATCTCTTTGGGGGGACCTCCTTTTACATCCCTTCTCTTTGCAGGGTCTACTATTCCTTTCCCGGGGATCTCTGTGCTGGCTTGGTGAGGGTTAATGACTTCCGAGTTTTTGTTAGAAGTATTTCAGAAATTGTCTTGGGTTTAGGGGACCATTGGGGGTTTCCAGGATGAGTGTGGGGCTGATGGGGAAGGAGCTTTAGATGGCAGTTGGACCTTCATCACTCCCTCCAGTGTGCCCGCTTGCTTGCCCTCTTCTTGTCCTCTCTCTAGCTCTGTCTGAAGCCCTGGCTCCCTTCCCTCAGGCTGGCACAGAAGCTGCTGTGATCACTAATCAAGCGTGTGATTTGCCCATGGAGGGAAAGGGCTGGGTAACTGTGGCGAACACGCCTCTGATTAAGCTAGAATCCCTCTGGTCTGACTTTTCTCTAGTGCGTCACCTTCTTCCCACCCGCTAGCTCTTTTCACAGTGGCCATCATCAGAGCCTGGCAGAGGTGATTATTACCAATCCGGGAGTGCCTGGGTCTCATTTGCTACCTTTTTAAAAAAGGGCATAATGGATGAGAATCTGGAAGATGAACTCCCTCCAAGAACATTGTTTTGTGTGTGTGTGTGTGTGTGTGTGTGTGTGTGTGTGTGTGAGGGACACACACGCGTCCCTTAGCACGCATGTTCCTCCCGTTGGGAAAAGAGCGGCTTCAGCTAGTTGGTGGGGATGACGGCGATGGGGGCACAGCTGGACTGAGCAGTGTACTCCTGCTCACTTCCTAACCTCCCAGAGGGGACGATACAAAGCACACTAAGTTGGCTCAGTCGTACAGCTCATCATTAAAAGGGTGTCTCTGTATGAACACGTTTGTATGCACTAGCATGGGTATGTGCATGCCATGGCACATGTGACAGCACGTGTGCAGAGATCAGGTGACCACCTTCAGTGTCTTCACCTTCCCCCTCGTTTGAGGAAAGGTTTCTGAGCCCCTGTGTAAGCCAGGCTGGCTGGCTTTAGGCCTTCTGGGGGATTTTCTCTTCTCTGCTTCCCATATCCCTGTAGGAGTGCTGGGATTACAGATGTGCGTGTTACCTGCATCTGGAGTTTTGTGGGCTCTGGGGGTCTGGGAGTTCAAACGCAGTGCTTCACCCACGGAGCCATCTCCCCAGTCTCAGGACTTGTCATTTTTAATGTAAAAGAATTAAAATATTTTCCAAAAGATGAACTGTTGTAGAATATTATTTTAACTAGGCAAAGATGTGTTACATTTTTTATGCTGCAGGATATTACTTTAACTGTGTGAACACGTGTTAGTTTGTGTATGCTGCATTTATTTAATGATGGATGAATGTGTGTTTAATTAGGTAAAGATGTATTGCATTTGTTTCACCTTGCCTACCTAAGGCACCTGAATGGTCTAATAAAGAACTGAACAGGCAATAGCGGCACCTGATTGGTCTAATAGAACATCCAATAGCTAGGCAGAGGAAGGATAGGCAGGGCTGACAGGGCAGAGAGAATAAATAGGAGGAGAAATCTAGGTTCAAAAAGGAAGGAAAAATGAAAGAAGCAGAGAGAGGGAGACGCCAGAGGCAAACCATCCAGCCAGTCACAGAGAAAAATGGAAAGAAAGACATATAAAATAAAGAGGGGTAAAAAGCCTAGAGGCAAAACATAGATAAAGAGAAACAGGATGTCCCTGGCAGGTGGGACCAGGATTTATCCCTGGTGCATGAACTGGCCCATTCCCTATGATGCAGGGGGGAGGGGCTTGGTCCTGCCTCAACTTGATATGCCAGACTTTGTTGACTCCCCAATGGGAGGCATTAACTTCTCTGAGGAGTTGATGGGGGAGTGGAGGTCTGGGGGAAGTTGGGGGCTAGGTAGGGGGAGCAGGAGGAGGGGAGGGAGGGAGAACTGTGGTTGCTATGTAAAATTAGTTAAACATTTAATAAATAAATAAAAAACAGAACAGGATAATCGAGTGGTTTGGCACCTTCATAGTGCCAAACTCGGAAGGTAGAGGCAGGAGAATCTGGAGCCAAAGCCATCCCCAGATACACAGTGCATTTCGGGCCAGTAAAAATGTTTGTAACATTTTTACAAGTAAGAGCAAGACCTGTGTAGACCACGGCATGCTCCTTGAGGTTCTCATGGTCTCTGGCACCCATGCGTTTCTGATATTAATTGGCTCAGACAGCAGTTTAGGCACCTAATGTTCAGTGGCAGAGCTTTCTTCAAGGACACCTCTGCCCACTTTCCACACTTAACCCTGGAGCGTAGAAGAGTTTATTGCTCCTTATCTGGTTTCTTTCTGGGTGTGTTTATGTGAGGACAGCTCTCCTTGGTGCTAGCGTCTTTTTGGCTCAGGCTTTGCATGGCAAGAGATGCTTGGATGCATCCTGAGGGCAGACGGATAGCGTGAGAGCAGGTGAAAGAGCAGAGACTTTGCGGGCAATGACGAGGAGCAGCTGTCAGGCGAGCCATCCCTTAACCTATTCCAGGCATTTGCCAAGGCGTGTCTTTCACCTGGACCTTTCCCTCTTGGGAAGGGATTTGTTACTGGGAGTGTATCATACACCCCAAGAGCAGACTGAGGGATGTTTAGCATCTGAGCCCCACATTACAAGGGCAAGAGCCAGCGCCATCCCAGGCATCACCGAGCACCTTGGCAGCCTGGTGCCTCCCGGTTATGCCCTGTGAGGACATGTCTTTGGATGATTTCTCATGAACAAGAGCCCTTGGTGCCATGCAGTCCTGGGAAGGTTGTATAATCTGGTTCTTTGTCAGCTGGGTATTCTGTGAGGTTGTTTAGGAAATGAGTTATGCTCTTTTATAGAACCTACCCCAGGGCTCAGAGCCAGTTGGCAGCTGTCCTCTAGCTGCAGCAAGAAATACTCCATGGTTACCCTCAGGTCTCGGTTCTAGGTTTAGTTTTACCGCCTTGGGCCGTAGGTTTATAGCCCGTTGGGTACCTCAGGCTCAGGCAGATGAGTGATGTGTGACTCATCCGAGCTAAGTCTGAGTGAGACTGTCTTTCCCATCTGACAGCAGCAGCCACATTTGTTACACTCCTCTTAGGACGCGATTACATGGAGGACAGGGACCGGGAATCCGGAGTGTGTACTTAATAGCTGCTGTTATTTAATTAGGCAGGTGCTATCAGGGTTAATGAGTCATTAACACATCAGAGGAGCAATTAGCCCATTGTTTCATAGTTGTAGGCAATCAAGCAGAAAGCCCTTCCTAGGGTGTCTGTACCCAGTAGAATTTCTCAGAGCACAATTTCTGCTGTTCTGTTTCCAGACCAGGTCTGTCAATGCTCGCCCGTTGCTGATATTCACCGCCGTTCGTTTACCCACTGCAGCGTGCGGGTCTACATCATTTGATATGCATCACCCGGCAGAGCAATAGAGGAGGCATGCATGCACTTTCTGCAGCCTCCACTGGTCTCCTTTACCCTGGATCTCTTCCCCTACTCGAGTTTCTGCTACTAGCAGAGTCGTGCATTTGTCCTGGCACCTTTCCCTCACCCACCTACCTTTTAGCTTTGTGGGTAGTCACCACCGTCTCCCGGGGGCTGCTCCCTAGTCAGCAGTAGGGCCATTCTGTTGTGGGACTTCCTACCCCAAGGAGGCTCACACTCCAAAGGATGGGTAAGCCACAAACCAAGAAAACCGTAAGCGATATGAGGACAGGAACATTGCAAGCTACCTTCTAAACACTTAGCTTTGCACACACTTTGTACACACTTGGCACACACAGTTCAGTCCAACTGTCATTCCTCGTCCCCAAAACTTCTGTATACAGTCAACAGCTGTCAGTGCAGAGACTTACAACTGGTCAGACTGTAGAGAAGTGACTGTTGACTGTGCAGGGCTCAAAGCCCTAAGTGGGGATCATATCACACCCCCAACTCCCAAGAAGGGTTGGAAAAATTATAAGAGCTAGAGATCAGAGACTATTGCTGCAAAATAATGTCTTCTGGACCTAATAACGACACTGCACTCATGAGTTCTCAGCCACTGTGGTTGCTAGCACATGACTTGCACAAGATCAAGCCCGGTAGCACTTGAACCTCCAGAAGAAAGGGCTGTAAGAGGCCCCGAATCTAAGCTAAGGAGATATTGGCAGTTGCTGGGCAGCACTAGTTAGGCTTAGTGGATTATTAAAAATAAGACGTGAAGTTAGAACTGGGGTATTGGAGGTGGCTGGGAGGAGCTGGAAGGGCTGAATGGGAGGTAGCTCGGACTTCAATACATCGTATTCATGTGTGAAATAACCCAATAATAATAAACAGTGGTGATAAAACAATTCTTAAAGCCCCCAAACAAACAAGGGTGGGGAGAGACGGGAAAGAACCCCGGAAGGCCAGCTGGAGTGCAGAGCGTGAAGAGGGCAATGACAGGTACCCTGTCTCTGATTGCTGTGAGGGAAGGGTTGGGTCTGGGGAGTTAGGTCTGTCAGTAAAATGCTTGCTATGTCTAAGTCCCAGCACCCATAGGAAAAATCGGGGCTGGCTAGGCACATCCCTAATCCCAGCCCTTTGGAGGCAGAGGCAGGGGCGGTACAGTGGGTTCTAAGCCAGCCAGGACTACAGAGTGAGATCCTGTCTGAAGAAACCAAAAACTGGGCCTGGAGGTGTACATCTCTCCACTAATTACTGCCGCCCATGTGGGCATGGGTATAAAGCACCATCCCCTGGAGCGTGGGCAACATACCATGGGCCACACTGACCCTCAGCTGCCAGGAATGGCCACTAGCTCCTCAGCTAGGAGTTCCCTAACACCTCTTTTCTGTGTTGGAGTGCTGGATGCTTGATCCTGTGTAGGTCATGGGCTGGCAACCACAGCTACCATGAGGTCACGAATGGAATGTCCTTGTCAGGAATATAGTATCTTGAAGCAATATTCTTTGACCTTTGGCTTTTATATTCTTTCTACCTCCCCCGCTTTCAGAGACAGGGAGGTCCCTGGGGCGTGCTGGCTAGTCAATCCAGCCAGTTGATGAGCTCCAGGTCCCAGCAAGAGACCCTACTTTAAAAACCAAGGGATGGGTGGGTGGTCCTGGGGCATGACACCTGAGGTTGACTCTGGTTTCCACATGCATGCACATAGGCATCTGTATACTTGAGCAGGCAACACACACACACACACACACACACACACACACACACATACACACACACACACACACACACACCACGAGGTTGGGGCAGCAAAAGGTTAGGTAAGAGCTAGAGGTAGACAGAGTGGCTGAGAACAGTTGGGGGATAAGAAACTGGGGCTTCACATAAGACTCCAAGAGCTGGCCACAGAGATGCTGATAGTTCAGTTGGGAGGAGCCAGACGTGAGATGAGACTGAGCATCTCCCCAATTTCAAAGCTGCGCAGATAGATCTCGGCCTTGTTGTTGTCTACGATGGTGAGGTCTGGAGTGGACGTGTGTGGGTGGTCAGCAAATCTGATAGGCTCAAAAGGAGACCAAGATGCCTAAGTAGACTTGCCTCTCCTTCCTTGGGTATGTTAAGGGACTCTCAAGTTAACTTAATTTTAAGTACTTATGGCAATAAGATAAATATCACATTGCATTTTTTATAAAACATTCTGCCATTTCATGGTCATAAGAATTCGGTAAGATAGGTCAACTCCACTGTAAAGAATTAGCAAACTAGTTGGGTGGTGGTGGCCTTTAATCCCAGCACTCGGGAGGCAGAGGCAGGTGGATCTCTGTGAGTTCAAGGCCAGCCTCAGAACAGGACAGGCTCTAAAGCTACAGAGAATCCCTGTCTTGGAAAAAAAAAAAGAAAAAAAATTAGCAAACTGCTGCTGAGAGTAGCCGGTCACACATCTCTGCCCAGTAGAGCTGGGCTCTGACCTGCCTCACCTGGCTTTCAGGCTGTGATTTCCTCCTGTGAGTCTGTACCATTTGTCCCATTTCTGCCTCCTGGTCATGTCTCTGTTCTGGTCACTGATAACCAATGGATACAGTGGATGCCCAAGTCCACAGGCTTCTCGTCTCCTCCAGGCCCAGCACGCCACACTCCTTTCTTCTAAATAGAGTTTTCAGGGTCAGGACATTCTTTCCTCTGTGTGTGTGTGTGTGAGAGAGAGAGAGGGGGGGGGCTGGCCCTTACTTTTCTGTGTCTCTGTCTGTCACTCTCTTTGAAGAAAATCTGATCGTGACTTTTTCATTCATCTTGAGAAGTTCAGACAAGCTCCCTGAATTAGCAGGCTATGTGCCGTCTAGTGCTGAGCTGGGGAAGGCTTGGGAGGGAGAGGCCTGATTGTGGGGCAGGCTCCTGAGTCCCCTTACTCACAGGCAGAGCAAGGCAGGCCTGGAAACTGGCAGAACAAAGGCCTCAGTAGAGGCGAGGCCCCCAGCCAGGTTCTAAGAGTCTTATAGAAAGCGTGGGAGGGAGGTGTTTGCCAGACCAGAGATCTTCTGTGCTTCTAGGTGGATGTGGATTGGGAGGTGGGGCTCATAGCCTGGGAAGTGGGGGGCTTAGCAGAGTGAGGAGTAGAAGGACCCCACCTGGTACTGCTGTGTGTGGGGTGAGGTACACAGGACAGCCCTGTGGAGAGGGTGCCCCATACAGTGTACAACATGAGGTAGGAGGACCACCAGGTTCTCAGTATCCATGGAGGATGGCTCCTCTTGTATCACTCTAGAGATAACTTTGAACTTGGGAGGGTGGTGGGTATGGGGAAGAAGAAAACCTGGATTATGCTAAGCCACAGGTCCTTAGAGGCTGCTGAGCCTATGGCCTATGTGTCCATGAGACAGGTTAGGGTTACTGACTGACAGTATGGAGTGGCTCATAGGCGTGGCAGGGAGACACAGCGCTAGTGGCCTGAGTCCCCAGGTGGGACCTCCCATGCAGGTGATGGTCAGTCATGGGGGTGACAGGGAAGTGGGACTCAGGCAGAGTTGACCACTGCCAAGTGAAGGGTATGGAAGACTTGAACCAGGCACACAACAGCTGTGGGATATAAACAGACAGGTGTGACCTGTGTGCGTGGGGATAAGGGCAAGGTGAGAGGTGGGGACCTATGCTGGCCACCTGGTGGGTTGAGGGACAGAGTCCAGAGGTCAGGGCAGCCTTTTAGTGGAGTCCATGATGCACTGGAGTAACACACAGGGACTCTGGTCTAGGGTGCTGGGCCAATCTGCTGCCCAGCTCAGGGGCAACCTTGACTCCCCAGTCTTTTTCTCTCATGTCTCTGTGCACTCCTGGCCAGCAGACTGGAGGAAGAGAGCTGTTATTCTCCCATGCCAGGATCCCCAAAATTTCCTACTATTTGAATAGCCTGAGGTGATGTCCTGAGAAGGCCTCACATTTGCCTCTGCATTTTTGTTCTCAGGAAAGAGGCCAGCAGGCCTGGGGAATGTAGGGAAGTGTCCCACTGGGCTACCATACTTCACTCTGGTCTGAAAATGGAAGCCACCTGTCTGCTCTTCTTACCCTGTAATTTGTCCATCAGAGCATGGAGAAGATACCTTGGCCACCAGTGTGCATTTACTGGGTGTACCCCCATTATGGGCCATGTCCTCCTCCTCTTTCCCCTGACATTCTGTGTGTCTCCTTCCTGCTCCCCACTACTTGGAGTATATGGCCTTCAGCCTACATCACCCCCACCTGTCACCCGCTGGAGAGGTTGGGCTCCTGGTGCACACCCATCTCTCTGAGTCCCTGGGGACCTGTCCTTGGTATCCTACACCCTTGGTGGTTTTGGGATTCCACTGTCCTTGCTGTTGGTACTGACTAGTATTTGCTCACCTGAAGTGAACTCTGAGCCCTGTGGTTTGTTTTGCAGATCAAGCCGGTGGTACATTGTGACATCAACGTGCCTTCCAGATGGCAAACACAGAGCAGGACATCTCGACATATAAAGTGAGTTCAGTGCCATGAATGTCAAACTTGAGCATGTCCCGGCTCCTCATAGACAGTGCTCTTCAGCTGGACCACCTGTTCTCAGCCTGTTCCTCACTTCCTTTTCTACTTCCTCCCCCTCTACTCTTCTGTCTCTCTGACCACATACCACCTCCATGTGGTTGGCCTTCAAGTGTCCTTCTTTGAGGATGCTGTCCAGTTCCAGTTGGGGGTGCCATGATCTGCAACAGTTTCCCTGAGGTAAAAAAAAAAAAAAAAACAGTTATAAGGTGTAGCAAAGAGGCCGCTAGTTAGTTCCTGGCAACTTAGCCCCAAAATAATCACACAGAAACTGTATTAATTAAATCACTGCTTAGCCCATTAGCTCTAACTTCTTATTGGCTAACTCTTACATCTTAATTTAACCCATCTCCATTAATCTGTGCATCACCACAAGATAGTGATCTACCAGTAAAGTTTCAGCATGTCTGTCTCCAATGGCGGCTCCGTGGCTTCTCTCTGACTCTGCCCTTCTTTCTCCCAGCTTTCCGTTTAGTTTTCCCCACCTAGCTCTGTCCAAAGCAGTTCCTTTATTAATCAATGATATTCACAGAATACAGAGGGGAACACCACATCAAGAAGGAAGCAGGAGAGATGACTTAGAGGTTAAGAGCACTGACTGCCCTTCAAGAGGTCCTGAGTTCAATTCTCAGCAACCACATGGTGGCTCACAACCATCTAGAATGAGATCTGGTGCCCTTTTCTGGTGTACAGGCATACATGCAGACAGAACACGGTATACATAATAAATAAATAAATCTTTAAAAAAACAGAGAAGGGAATGCCTCAGTTATGCAAGTTTTGCTTCTCCCACCATTTTCAAAGTCTCAAGGACTGTGTCTTTCTTGGATGTCCCTTGCCTTTCTTCAGCTTCTAGAAGGGAGTCATTTATAAACACAAGTCAGGGGTTCCCATACTGTTTCTTGAAAATGCCAGACCTCAGAAGAGCCAGGCTCTTAGCAGTGGGCGCCTTTCTGGGACCTATAACTTGCTGAGAAAGGGTAAGTGCAAAGAAAAACACCAGGAGCCTGGCAAGATGGCTCAGTGGGCAGAGACACTTGCCCACAGGCCTGACAACTTGAGTTCAACCCCTGGATACTATAAGGTGCCAGTTGTCCCTTGTTCTCCACATTGGTTCTATACTCACACATTCATACGTGTTGGCGGAGGCTGTTCGTTTGTTCCCAGATGCCCAGACCTGAAATAATCACACAGAAACTATATTATTTGCAATACTGTTTGGCCAATAACTGAACTGTATTTCTAGCTAGCTCTTACATCTTAAATTAACCCCTTTTTATTATTTTGTATTTTACCATGAGGTTCGTGGTTTACTGGCAAGGTTCTGGGGTGGGCATCTGTCTCCTCTGGTGGCTACACTGCTTCTCCTTGACTCTCCCTACTCTCTCCTCCTCTAACTGCTTGGAATTCCCACCTTACCCTATTCTGCATTGCAATAGGCCCAACGCAGCTTCTTTATTAACCAATGGTATTACAAGCATACAGAGGGGAATCTCACATCACCTGCATATTTGTTACTGATCCTGATGACCTCAACTCCATCCTCTGGGCTCACATGATGAAAGGAGAGAATTGAGACTTCTGCAAGTTGCTCTCTAACCTTCATACAAGTTCTGTGACATGTACAAGCCCATGCATGCATACACATACACTGAATGAAATTTAAAAATGTTTGAAAAGTACTAGGGCATCTCTAAAATAATAGGAGTTCCAGTGCTTTTAAGTTTTGCTGACACCATCTTTTGTGGAGAACATGCCACATTCTTAGGGAATATAACTGGCTTGTGAGTCCTGGTTAATGAAGACACACATCTCTGTAGCTACAGCCTTGGGGCCATGGCCCCTTACACCAGTGACTCTTGCAGAAGATGTGTTTCACCTCCTGATAGAAGTGCTGAGAAGCTCCACTAGATGGACCCAAATAGCCATCTAAATGCAGCATCCTTCCACCAGGGAAAAAGCCGATCACATTAGCCAGGAGAGCTTGCGACTGCGGAAGCCAGAGGAAGTCAGGGAGCGGTTCTCTGTATCTGGTGCTTTGTGTTAGGGATTCAGAGTAGGAAGGACTCTGATCTTCTCCTGCAGTGGAATGGCAAGGCTGGCACGATTGTGGAGTGTGGCTTCTGTTCCGTTGGAGGCAAAGCCTGGAGCTCCTTGGTGGGACATAGGGGTCACCACGTAGATGGTTGTGGCCATGGAAGTGTGAAGTTGCTCAGTTGGAGACTAAGGCTCAGAAGTGGGACCTGGTTCTGGTCTTCACTGTGAAGCCTGAGGTTCTCACTCTGCAGGGACATCCTTCACCTATAGTGCTTTATAGTGGGCTCCCCACTCTCTGTTTAGTAAAGAATATGGCGTGTGTGGGGTGGGGTTCAGAGAATTTTACTTCCTTTGCTTCTTAGAAGTGAACGGGTGAAAAGTTTATCAATTCTGGGAATGGTTTCCCAGAGACTGCCTAGCCCCCATGGGAGAATATTTTAGGCCAAAGAGAGAAGGTCACTGGAACTGGGGGTAGCAGGCAGATATTTTGTCTGTTGGTGAGCAAGAAAAATCAGGGGACAAAAGATAACAAGACCATGCCCCAGAGCCTGGCTAGAAGCTGACTATGGCCACAGCGGCGTGTCTGCTGCTTAGCTCTCAGGCAGCTGTTGGCCTCGGGCCATGGCTAGCTGCCACAGCTCTTGGTGCAGCCTCAGGTTGAAAACTTCATTCAGAGGCTCTTCCGTTCTCAGCAGTCCTTTGTTTTTTGAATGTGAGACCTGGACCTGAAGTTTAACATCAGTGTATGCAACGAGAGGAAGCATCCAGAATTCCACCTGAGCATCTTGACCCAAGAATACACAAGTAGGTAGCTATGGCGACCTTATGCTTGGAGGTGTTTTGGCAGAACAAGTGTTTAGGAAACCCTTGGAATATACAGGTGTCAGAATGAGGAAGATGGTTTTTGTTGTTGTTCATAGGAGAGAGATATCTGTTCTTGCGGAGGAAGAGGAGGAGGAGGAGGAGGAGGAGGAGGAGAAGGAGGAGGCAGCGGCCAGGGAGCAGGCTCCCCTAGGTCTGCATTATATCACAGGCTTTGCTGAGGCTGTGTTTGTGGTAGAAGAAGTGAGAACAAGTGCTGGTCAAGGTAAAAGTTGACGAGTCCAAAACCATCATTTTCTCCCTTCTGCCGTGAGGACTCATGCTGTGTAAATGAGAGCAGAGATTCTTGTGATAGGTTTGGAGGCCACCCAGGGGTCATCTGAGCAGACTAAACAACTGACCTTTCCTTGTCCAATTCCTGCCTAGTGCGAGGTTGTTACCTAGGTCATTGAGCCCCTTCGTGTCTCCTTGGGAGGCATTTTAGTGATGGTGTCTCTATCACTATAGGGGAGTTGCATCAGTGCCCGGGAGTTGCAGTGGGACCCAGGGTTTAGTTTTATGCTTGGAAGCCATTTGGAGTCCTCATGAATTGGGGAAGAGGCTTTGAATATACCTATCTGTCAGTTCATGAGCATGTCTTGGGTTCTCTGTCCTGTGTGCTGTACTGTGTGTGTTCTCGTGTATAGGTGCATACACATGTATGTACCAGTATGTGGAGGGCCAAAGGACAGATTCTGTTGCCGTACTCCATTGTTTTTGAGATAGTCTCTCACTGGCATGAAACTTGCCAAGTAAACTCGTTCCCAGGGAACTTGGACAGCAAACCCCAGGAATCTGATGTCCCGCGCTACCGTCTTGCCAGCAAGAACGACGTGGCACACTTAGGATCCTTCTGCAGAAAAACTTTAATGCATCTTGAGAGAGAGAGAGCATAAGCTTACAAAGTGGAGACCCAGAATGAGGGGAACCCATCCCTTATATAGGAAACAGTCCTCGCTTCGGACGTGTCACTCTTGGATTGGTCCGCTGCCCATCAACCCAGATGACGCCTCGGGGCTAGGTAGGGACGCAGCAGTGGAAAGTTACCAAGCACATGCGCATTATCTTGTTCACCAGGCGGTGAGGCCGGATGCCAGGGCCATCTTGTAATGGAGAATGTGGTTGCGGCCCTCCACAATCTGACTCTCTCCAATCCCCCAGGGCTGGGATCACACTTGTACTCCATCACACCTGGCCCCATACCTGGCCCTTCCTTCCTTCCTTCCTTCCTTCCTTCCTTCCTTCCTTCCTTCCT